ATGAAAAAAACTTTGAATAGATATTAAACATCGCAAATGGAGGATGAGTCAAAAAATATGAGGTTTTTTTATTCTTACCATTTGCATTTTTTCATTCGTAATTCGATTGTAAGGGTATGTAGGTCTCACAGAACTTCCTATAAGAACCTCCCTATGTTAAATATTCAAATTTTTGGAATTAATTAAAAACAAAAACTTTTGTGAGAATCATATTAACCGTGAAAAATAAGTTTATTTATAAGTTTCTTTTACTTGGTTAAAAAGTACAAGGAATGTTAAAAAAAAATTATGATAAAACAATTCTCAAAGCTGGTGCCCTATTTGAAAAGCAGATGGGTTGGATATTGTCCAAAGAAGTCTTGACCAAAATAGAAATCGCAAGACAAGAGCCTGATGAACAATTTTTATTACTGAAAGTAATTTCTACACGAAGACGTAACTATTAGTTTTTGTAATTATGTTTTTTCAGGTTATTTTAATAATATGCATTCGTTATGCTTGTAGAAGAGATCTATTAAATGTGACGGTACAAAACATACGTAGAAGACAAAAGTTGTATGATTTCATTATAATTTCTGACAGCAACACATACAAAGAAAACATTTTGTCACTTCCATATTACATTCTATTAAAAATATGTTGCTTTGCGTTCTAAAATGTCTTTTTAATACTTAGGAAACAGAATTTAAATGAAAAAAAAAAAAAACACTGATTAACGAATAACATTAATATGTATAGTCCAACCAAATTACACTTTGAGAAAAAAAAATTGTTACCTGGACTTTTATAAGTGGAAATGGTAAAGGGGCTTATAATAAACGTAAAAAAAATAAATGCGTGAGCAGGGGTGGCGGAGGGTTGATTTGGGGGGTCGAAGAGGGGTGAAAAATGGTATCATTGAGATTTCTGGCGAAAGTTGATGTCAAACAAAAAAGTATCCAATACAAAACTTATAGATCATGAAAAAATCTACAACTCTTGTAAAGGGCACTTTTGAAGATAACCTCAAAATTTCCGAGAAAAATGCGAAAAACAGGTTTTTTTCTTTTTTTTTCGTTTTTTATTTCTCATTTCCGCAAAAATAATTTAATTTTGACGAAACTTGGTGAAAGTATACTTTCCTGTGTCTTAAATAACCACAATTTTTTTTAGATAAAAAAATCAAGAAGTTTCCGAGATATTCATATTTTCCGGTCTGAAACACTTTTTTTTCAAAGAAAAATTCTACTTAAAAAAATCATCGTACAGAGTTCTGCCGGTAATCATTTTTTTCGTTTTGACATATACTTTTTGGTGAAATAAAAAAAATTGGAATCGCAGTTCAAAAACATGCTCAAAAATGCAAAAAAGAAAAATGACTCTTGCAGAAATGAGTTTTTCAGTAATTATTGTTGATAGTTTGTTTAAATTTAAAGAAAATTCAAAAACTGATTACACCATTCGATTGTACGGAAAAAATACAAAAGAAACTGTGTCTCATTGTTTGACCCGAAATTTTATTTTTGTACAGTATTGCTATAAACATAATATTTTTTTTCGTAGGATCGATTAATGTACTTATTTTTTTTAACTTTGAATTGAATTCATAGATGTATAAGCGACTCTTTAATTAAATTATGTAAAATTCAGATTTTTGCTTTCAAAATTTAAAAAATATTTACAAAGGATATTTACAGTTAATAATACTAGGCGAATCTTGGTCTTTTTGGCAGCCTTTTAACTTGAACTTCATCGTCCGATCCTTCATTAGAACCCAGTCTTCCTGTTCTTCAAACGTTTCTTTGATATCACTTAATTCTTCGTTTAATTGATCTTCCGGGTTCAAGCAAAGACTGGGCTTCTCAATTTCATGTGAAATGTCTTCGGAATCACTGAAATTTTCCGAAATTTTGTCAACGTTCAAACAATTGTCCGAACCATGACATTTTGTACATAAATCTGTACATCGCACTCCATGTTTTCGACACCCGCATCTATTACCGTTGGTAAAACCTTTTTATGAGACTAATGCAGAATCAAAAGTCATTGTTCGAAATGGTTGTAAATTAATTTCGTCTATTTACAAATGCACAAATGATAAATTATCTCTGGATGATTTGAGATTTCAGCAATACAAAGTATTAACTGCAAAGTCTACTTTTAAATTAGAAAAATTACCACCAACTGTCGGAGCAGCTACACAACACTCCTATAGAGCATACTTTCAGCTTCAGACGTGGCTTGGAAACAAAATAACTGCAACCAAGTGGGGCTGGAAAGAAGTAATTGCGAATAATTCCAAAATACTCATGCCTCGCTTTACAGAAGTTTCAGTCGTTCCTGAAGATTTAATAAAAACAATCTCTTGCAGCTGCGAAACCAGTTGTGACGGTAATAGATGCGGGTGTCGAAAACATGGACTGCGATGTACAGATTTATGTACAAAATGTCATGGTTCGGACAATTGTTTGAACCTTGACAAAATTTCAGAAAATTTCAGTGATTCCGAAGACATTTCAAATGAAATCGAGCAGCCCAGTCTTTGCTTGAACCCGGAAGATCAATTAACCGAAGAATTAAGTGATATCGAAGAAACGTTTGAAGATCAGGAAGAAACCCAGTTTAATGAAGGATAGGACGATGAAGATCAATTTAAAAAGTTGCCAAAAAGACCAAGATTCGCCTAGTATTATTAACTGTAAATATCCTTTGTAAATATTTTTTAAATTTTGAAAGCAAAAATCTGAATTTTACATAATTTAATTAAAGAGTCGCTTATACATCTATGAATTCAATTCAAAGTTAAAAAAAATAAGTACATTAATCGATCCTACGAAAAAAAAATATTATGTTTATAGCAATACTGTACAAAAATAAAATTTCGGGTCAAACAATGAGACACAGTTTCTTTTGTATTTTTTCCGTACAATCGAATGGTGTAATCAGTTTTTGAATTTTCTTTAAATTTAAACAAACTATCAACAATAATTACTGAAAAACTCATTTCTGCAAGAGTCATTTTTCTTTTTTGCATTTTTGAGCATGTTTTTGAAGTGCGATTCCAATTTTTTTTATTTCACCAAAAAGTATATGTCAAAACGAAAAAAATGATTACCGGCAGAACTCTGTACGATGATTTTTTTAAGTAGAATTTTTCTTTGAAAAAAAAGTGTTTCCGACCGGAAAATATGAATATCTCGGAAACTTCTTGATTTTTTTATCTAAAAAAAATTGTGGTTATTTAAGACACAGCAAAGTATACTTTCACCAAGTTTCGTCAAAATTAAATTATTTTTGCGGAAATGAGAAATAAAAAACGAAAAAAAAGGAAAAAACCTGTTTTTCGCATTTTTCTCGGAAATTTTGAGGTTATCTTCAAAAGTGCCCTCTACAAGAGTTGTAGATTTTTTCATGATCTATAACTTTTGTATTGGATACTTTTTTGTTTGACATCAACTTTCGCCAGAAATCTCAATGATACCATTTTTCACCCCTTTTCAACCCCCCAAATCAACCCTCCGCCGCCCCTGCTCACGCATTTATTTTTTTTACGTTTATTATAAGCCCCTTTACCATTTCCACTTATAAAAGTCCAGGTAACAATTTTTTTTTTCTCCTATAAATGAGTTATTTCGATCGGTCTAGTATGTATTCAAGCGGTATTAAAAGGATAATAATCACGTTACTTGACTATCTGCTGATAAAAATTGTAACCCCTTGGATATTTCCTGCTTTTATCACAAATTAATTACATTATTACCGCTATGATTCAAGAATTGCACACAACCTACAGTTAAAAGAGGGAAAACGACTTCTGCGAATTTACAAGTGCTCAAAGAAAAACTAAACGGAATTTCCCGAAAATAAAGATGACACGTACTCGCTTATCTATTACCAATAACTTACAATTAGTCTTCCTGCCCCATCACATCCAACTTTTATCCCTAGGAAGTATACTTGCGTATGGCATTCGAATTCCTCAATATCGCAAATTGCGATAAATTTCAACAACTCCGAAAAAAATTGGATGTGTGACAAAATGTTTAATTTTTCAGTTCCAAAATTGTAGAAGACTGCTCGGCTGCTACTCACAAATCGCTAAATTACAGGAAGGAGAATGAAAAGAATTCCATTCGTACCGCAGGTAATTTAGTTAATAAATGTTTAGATTATCTTTTTCAAGGTAGTGCATGACGGTAACTAATTCCCAGAATCAAGGACAAGGGTGGAAATCTCGTCATTATTTCGTTTTATAACTCTCAAGCCTTAAGTACCAACCATATTCGTGATTTATACATATTCGTATTAATTATGTGCATGTTTTTGTCTTTTCATAAACCAACTGCATATCTTTTTTGGGTTTATCTATGAAAAAAATTATCCGAGCACGTAACAGTATTTTAGTTAAATGTAAACATGGAAAATTTGCAGAAATACAAGTGTATACGATAAACAAAGTATTTAAAACCCTGCAATATGTTAAATAAATAGATAACTAGCAGAAAGTGTCCTGCATAAGGTACCGAGTCTAATTATGTGCAAACAGTTAATGACTTAATTAATATTACATAAATAAATATTAAACTGTGTATTACATAAAAAAGCACTTCAATAATTCCTACTTTCACTAATTTATAACAATAAAACAAATCACATTTTTAATATCTTAAGATCAACGCCTATCTATTACTTTTAAGTTTTCAATTAATTCATTCGGCCCTACGTAATTGTCCCAAAATTTCTACTGAATAAATCTTTTTATTCGTTTTTTACAACATGAACATATTGTAAAGAAAATATTAAAACAAAAAGTTATTAATAAAGACAAAATAGATAAGCAACGAGGTATCTATGATTTCTTTCGACATACTCTATGTAGGACGCAAACTACACGGGGCAGATGAGTATAGAACAAAACGGTCAACATATGTCAACTGATTTATTTATATAATTTTATAAAGACAAAATGGCAACCGACAATCTAAACTGACTACATTATATTAACAATATTGTGTAATTACCTTTATGTTGCACACCAATTTCTTCACAAAACCTTCAAATGCTATATAACCGTGCCATTTATAAGTCTTTTAACCTTTTTAGTGCACATTATGATTAATTAAAAGTATTTTTTTTATATAATACACTGCAACAAGAACGCTCCCTTATCGTGTTGACAACACACAGGTTCTCCTGAAACTAGTCAGCTGTTTGTCAAGACGTCAAGTGGGATCGGGTTTGAGCGAGATCGTGCGTTTTCGCGTCGGCACGAACGCGCTCGAGGGGAAGGGAGAATATTGAGGCGCCAAATTTAAAAATCGTTTATGCCACATTAGAACAATTTCTTTGTTAAAATATCGACCCAATTGTGTATTGGAAAACAGTGTTTATTAAAACAAAGAGGTAAATAAGCTATTATTTATTGAAATTATCAAGGTTATGTAAACAGAAAATTTAAACAATTATACATTACCCTGAATTGACAGTTTTATGTTATTTATTGTTAAAAAAAAAAATAGGTAATAAAACAAGTTATAAAAATGTATTTGGTCTTCACATTAGGAACAGACAATTACTTTTTGCAGAGTGTTAAAGAAAAATTATTTATCACTTTTTGCCAGATTTTTTTATTCCTCCACCGGTTAACGGCCCTTTTTGTGATGCTTTCGATTTAGCCTCTTGAAGGGCCTTTTGCTGTTCCTTCATCTTTTGCTTGTGTGCCATGTCTTCATCGTCTAGTTCCTTCGAATCTTTTTTGGGAGCTTTTAAAGGCTTCTTTTTACCACCTTCTCGCCCAGACATACTAAAAAGTTTTAAAGATTACAAAACCGTATTACTAATTAAATACTTTTGTGTTCATGTTTTATGTTTTCTTTGGATGTGACTTTTGATTGTGACTGTTAACAAGTTGAATAATAACAATCCTTCGCATTTAAAAAATATCAGGGTTTCGGTTAATCTGCATCTGATAGAAATAGGTGAACATCAAATTATTTTCCAAGATAGAGGTTTTTGTATGTAAACATAAAATAGTTTTAAATTCAAGATATTTTAATAACAAACAAGGGCAATTTGCACCTTTATGAACTGTTCTAACCTGTCTGATAGAAGACGATAAAAGATTATATTTTATGTCCTTCCTACTCAGACATTTAATAATTAGTTGAATGACACTGTTGATTTTATAGGCGAGGTGATACACGTTTGGAAGAAATATATAGACAGAAAATATGGTACCTAAACATATGAGACGTTCACATGATCCAAATTTTACATTATTCTAAAATGTGGTTTAAAATACTAAAAATGTATGGGACCATACTCTTAATATTAAACATTTTTTACATACCTTATAATTTAAATTTTTCGTTCCAAACTGTGTCTCAATTTAACAAATATTTTCGTTCTCGTACCACCTTAAAATTAAGGTTAAAAAGAATTTTGCTAACAAAACCATGGAGACTATACAAGGAGCCCGAACTCCATGTAAACAAAAATCTTACAAAAATAAGAGGGCGCTAGTGTTCCATATGTCCCATATGTAGAGAGGGGAGATAAAAAGCGGCAGTTTGAATTATAAATCAATCATGTCATTTTTGTAATGTGTTAAAAATTTTAAAATAAATAATGTAAGCTACTTTGAATTATATAAATCATGAAAATATGTCATTCCGGACTGTAATTAAACTAAATAGATAATAAAAAATATTAGCTTTATGAGAAGAATTTGGTGTTCGTAGAAAGAAACTAGTTTTCAAGGAATTTATGACGTGTCTTGTTAATATTAACCTATAAGTAAGGTTTATGTTTTTGATAATTACTTTGTTAAAGATTTTAGTTTAATGTTAGTAAAAAATAGTCACATTTTATACAGGAAGTTNCCCTCTGTTAATGTCCCCAAACAGTATGTTGATGGTAAGACAGATAGATGCATTATTATTAGCTTTCAACATAGTCGTAGAAGCTATGTACCGAGATGTATATATTTACGGTTTTCTCGGAGTTCCTTATTATATCAAATTATTGCATCTGTTCGCGTATTTTACGACAAGAAAAAAATGTTTTACCTAGATTTCGAACACCTGTAGATTAGGGTAATTTTTGTAAATGAAAACTCATTTTAGACCAAAATGCATGTTCTCTTTGCATTGAAAATAGCAAACAAGACCAACTTTTTTAATATGTAAGATTATTTTAATGTAAGATTTTGCTTATAAGATGTAAGATGTAAGATTTTGCTTAGATGCCTAGTAAACTGAAGTAAGTACTTAATGTATAAGTACTTGCTATATCTTAGCAATGTTTAATTTCTTGTAGCTTGTCCATATATTATATTAGCACTTATTGATCTCACTATCGCACTATTCACTAAAACAAATTACACAATATATTTTAATCAGAATAATTAGAACTAGTATAACTAAATTTTTGCACTGCATGACACTTCACAAACTGCATACTACACACAGTACACTACACACTACACTGTACGCGCCTAAAATGACACAACACGACACGACGCGAATCTATCCGATCGGTTCCGAAAATGAACGGAAGTTAGCCTCTCATCACACTCCTGAACCTCACATAAATAAATACTACTCATACTTATATTTATAATCTCGACTTATTTAATATTAAGAGGATTATTTATACTAAAACTAAAATCAAAAGAATTAAATCGGCAACTGTTTATGTACCCGCAACAAAATTTGACTTCAGCAGTTTAAACGGAAGCTCCGATCGTGATCCGGAAGTTCACGAAGAACAAGTGAGCAGTGTTGCCAGATGGGGCTATTTGTAGCCAAACTGGCTATTTAAAATCTCCATTGGCTACCCATTTTTTTATTTGGCTATGGCTACAAAAAATGGCTACATGATGAAAATCTCAGGCTACACCATGGCTACAAAGTAAAAATTATAATTTTAACCAATTTTAAGAATAAGAATAATGTTTTCCGGAAATAATCCGAAATGCTGTTTTAATTTCTGCCCTATAACTATGGATAAACTCAAAAAATTTACTTCAGATATTTATAAAAACACGTTTAACACAGAGACTGCCACGTGTGATACTAAAAATGTAAGGGAAATGGAAGAAATAATTCAAACTATAAATGACTTAGAGCATCTACCATGTCCTAAATTTATCATAAATTTATTTACATATTTTTGTGGAGTATTCCAATTTATTTTTTTAACCTATAACATAGCTATTTTTTGTTTTCTTTTGAGTAGTTGTTTTATATTTGTGTCATTTGCCAAAATTAATTAATTTTGAAGAAAGTTGTTCTCAAATCAAGTTCTCACAGAAAACGTAAATAACGGGCGGAAGATAATGGGTTTGCATTCCTGCATTTATTTAACAAATATTTGCATATGATTATGATTTAATGTTGGAAGGGAAGGTTGGCTATTTTTGGCTATTTCTTCCCGTTAAAGTGGCGACATTAATTTTCGAGAATCTGGCAACACTGTTTACACTTTGCAGTTTAAACCTAACCTAACCTAACTTTGAAAAGTGTTTATAAACATGTTCGCCTTTGCAAATTATTTCACAGTACCAAAAATGCGGATTTTTTGTGTTTAATAGGTAAATACGAAGTTATTTTTATGGTTTTGTGGAATATGTTAGGTAGGTGATGTTAAGATTTTTTTAATACATTAAGATAAATTTACAGATTAAATGTGGCCAAAAAGAGGTCTCATTAGGTAACGGAAATTATGGACGAAAAACGGCATCTCATTGACTGATTACTACAAAAAAATTAATGTACAGGGGAACTCTTACTACTACAATTTTGTAAAAAAAAAAAATCAAAAATTATTTAAAAATATACTTCCGCACGGCACTGGAAACTGATCCACTGTAAAGTTTGACCTTATGCAAGACAAAAGCATGCAGTTGGCGACCGGCACGGCGGCAAAGTTAAAAATGAAGGGACAAAAAAATTGAAAGTATTTCTTTCTCAAACAAAGAAATAATTAAAATTTTATAACACTTATTTTATATCAGCAAATTCAACTGCTTTTGCCGCTATTGTTATTATATTATATTAATTTGTGGTTTTAATGAATAAAATTTGTCATACCTACCTGAACTGTTCAAAATACACATTGCTATACACGTAAGCCATTTTCGACACTTGAAAAACTAGTGTAAACACTATCGCATAAACGTTAATACTAAAATCGAATTTCAGTATTCGGAATCGTGAGGCCATGTGGAGAGAGAGCGCTTTACGCACAGCGGACAACACGAATGACGCCAGTAGCCCAGCGATGTAATTGTTTTATGATTTTGACTCCATTTTTCATTTTTTTGGATAAGATGTGTATAGTGCGTTTATCGAACAGTAAATTTACTCTAATAGAAAGATCAGCCCTTGGCACTTTCTACACGTTTACATACAAAAATACTGAGCTTTATACGAGAATTTGTTTAAACATGTTTTAAATTGGATACGTTTTTATGAAATTACCGGATATCGAGGAAATAAAATACACGACAGCAGTTATATAATCTTTAATATATCATTAAATAGAAGAAACATAAATCAAATTGTGCCGTTCGAATTTAACTAAAAATATCTATCAGGTTAATAATTTTCTGAAGAAATGAAAAACATAAGTGCAATTTACATAACAGCGATAACATAAACTTTTAATTACATACCTTAATAGAACAATCACATTTTCAAATGTACGAAAGGTTTAATCACTATAACTCATGTGTGAATTTCTCCGACTCCCTTATTATATCCGAACTGACGGGCTTCCGACACACAAAGAACACACTGTCATACTCGTACTGTAACATAGATTTTGGATTCTGGCAATATTTGGTCTTCACCCCCATTTCGCACTTCTCCATTACAAACCCGACGTTCTTTATAACTTGCGAGACCACCTGGAAACTGGGTTCGACGCTTTTCTCATTCTTCATGTCTGAATAGTGGTACAGGAGGGGGCCCAAGTTGACCCAAAGGCCTCCCGGTTTCAGGATCCTGTATATGGTCTCGATGAATTGTACGACGTTCGGGGCACAGTCGATGAAAAAGCAAGTCGCCACGCAATGCCACTCGTCGTTGGTGGTGTACACTTCCAAAAAGTCGCCTGCGGTCATTGAAAACTTACTTTCTGGAGTGGGCTTAGGTATAACGTCCGGAAACCTAAAAAAGGATTATAGTTAGAGGTCGGCATATGTGCCTCGTGACAGAATTTTTCTCAGTTCACTTTATTTTTAGAGATATGGCGTTGTCGGCAGTTTTTTTAAACAGACCGCCCTGTTTATTTCAACATTTTTAGAAAGACAGATTTTCCCCGATTACAACGATATAGGGTTTGGTGGGTCTGTGATTTATTGTTTTTTAAATGTTGAATAAAACAATAAAATAAAGAGTAAGAATTTTATGTAATGAAAAGGGAATTGCAAAATATGGAGCACTTGAATAATAAATGTTCAAACTGGTGGTGACCTTCGGCAGCCTGACAATATCCTAATCGATCAACAAAGACTCTTAAGGAATTTTGAATGGCATGCTGCGATATTTCTCGAACGGCCATCCTAATTAGGGTTGGTCTTGTAGACAACAGATTTTTAATGACCCAAAAGGAAATAGTCTAACGGACTTAAATCTGGTGATCGCGGTGGCCAGTCAATATATCCTCTTCGCCCTATCCATAAAGGCAGAGCTCCATTTCGTTGGTACTAAATGTCATTTGAGAGTAGTTCAGGATTTGCTTGGATTGGAAATAAACAAATTAATGCTGGAACAATTTGCTCGTGCAAAAGTTCAAAGTTCAAATTTTCTCAAAGAGAGTGGGCCGATGATGTATCCATTTAATTTCTGAGGATATTGAGTGTGATTTTCTTCTATCCAATGTGGATTTTGATCGCTCCATTAACGACAGTTGTCGATTTACAAAACCCTTCAAGCAGAACGTCGATTCATCGGAGAAACGTATATTATTGACAAAGTTTACATTATTCTCAATGTGACTTATCTTCATTTGTAGCTGATTTACGTGTGCCGGATTTTGTAAGATTTTTAACACTTCCCGTTTCATGAAACTTTTTCACAACCCTTGAAACTGTTGATTTTGAAAAATGGGAATTTCATTTGGGGAAAGGTGCATTAAAAATATTGCATGTGTCTCCTCCCGTGTCCAAAACCAACAATATTTTCTTTTACAACGGAATTAAAAAAAATCTAACTATGCAGTTTTAGTTGCCTCTATTTTTGTACACAATAGCAAAGCTAGAAATAGGCACTTGTAACGATAGAACGTTCCAAATACAGGAACAAAGGTTGAAGATACCGGAACACTATGTGAAATGAACAGCACATTACAATTTCAATGTACAGAATACACAAAATTATTTTATCGGATTAAGAAATAGTAAAACTTATAGTTTCATTTATTTATGACTCTACTACCCTCTATTTTGGCACTAGAATAGTTGTTTTTCTTGCACACATTACATTTAACTGATAAATGTAAAAAAAACTTACAGCAATGTTTCAAACATAGCCATTATAAAACTATTTCCACTTTTAACTATTTTCGTAACTATTAGATCTAGCGTTACTATTTACTATTAATATTATGATGAGACATCATTCTGTGAATATGTTCATTTTTATATTCATAAAGTTAGTTTCAGCCCCAATTACAACATAAAATACACAAAATATTGGTAAATATTTCAAACGTGCGAAAAATAAATTAAACTCACCTCACACTCGTCATTTGATCGTCCGCCCTGACATTGTTGCAGTACTGATGGATCCAAGGGTACACCTCGTATTCATTCACATTTTTGCAGAGATTCAACACGAAATACGAGACGATTAACATGAATAAATTAAACTCGTTTCCTTGGCAAGAGAATCCTTTGGAAGCTATCTCGAAAGCCAGTCTTCCAAGACCAGCCCCTGGTACCAAAATGTTAATGTTACTTCTGTCAAATTTGTCATCTGGGAAATTGTCGAAAATCTCATCGATAATCGGGCCGTAGCACTGCTTCCTCTCAGGGGCTCCAAGGTCGCTCCAATCGCGCATGAGCTGTTTGAATACTGATTGCACCTTATCCAGTCCTTCGGACAGAGTTCCTATTTGTTGTTCTGAGTGAGAGGTACCTTCGCTGCAGTAAACGTTATCGAATATTGTATGTGCATGTTCCAAAACGATCGGAAGGAAATCAGAATTTTTTTCGATACATTTCTTAAAACTTTCTAGATCTTCCTTGTATCTTGTCAGCCATTTTTTGTGATGATAGGGCAGGGTCTCTAGGCATCGTTCCTTGTGGCGAATTCTTAATAATGACTGTTCTCTGAAAACGTAAAAATTATCATTTCAATTTAAAATTCTACACTAATCTTCGTCACTGTAAAAATTTATGTTGAATGACCTTATAAATATGTAAAATGTTGCATTAGATTAAGTAAATAATAAGATCCAGACTCCCTGCAAACTAACTATTAAAGCATAGATGATACTTCTTGTAACAACGATATTGTGTGATGCAACATTCGATATATAACTATTAAATGCAAAAATTATCGTCTAATGAACACTAAATAATACTGACATGACTGGACTAGACATTCAATTTGATACATTACGACATTCAAAGATCTGATTTCGCCGACAATGTCTAGATATAAAAATAATGAAAAGAAATTAAATACATACCTGTAACTTTTAAAGGTGTGAATAACCGAAAGAAAATAAAACCTTTCCTCTGTTGCTCCATTCATTTCTGACGACATTTTGGAATATTTTTTAACTTGTATAATAATTATATTACATATACTAATAATTACAGAGAGGATAATTAAAAAACTAACCTATACTAACCACTTCCCTGTCAATCAATTCAAACTTCAAACAAATCCCTACCCTACCATAGACAAAAAACACTAAAACGAATCCATTTATGGCACGATACATACAAACGCGCACGACACTTCTCTCACAAAACAATCAAAACATGAAAAGCAGTACCATTGAACATAAAAACCACGAAGATAACACAATGATCGCCATTATTCCATGGCTAGAAATTGGCCTCAATGATTTGGGATCGAGGTGGATTATCCCTCTTTATCCTGCCTCATCTCATGTAGGCCTGGACAGCCTTCGTAGGTGGGCCCCATCCTTCGTCTACCCCGACCGCAAATGCGGCCGCTGTAGGCGCTTTGTGGGACCTCCTTTTGTCCTGGCTGGGCCCCGCCGGCTAAGGCCCTTTCTCCTGGCGCTCTTACCACAATGATCGATGTCCGTTAAATGTTAAATGGCGATTTGACACATAAAATTTGAGCAATTTGGCATTTAGATTATATTATCTATTATATTATTATAAAATATTAGCCAAAATTATAATTATATTGGTTGTCATAAACTTGGGTACTTCTCGCTCTAAAAGCAAAAACATTTTCTGAAAACATATCGATATGTATATAAAAGTATCGTAAATTCCGACACTCGCCGTTAAATGGCGGCACCAATCAAAATGCTGAGACACCATTGTTACCAGTGTCACCACTTTTCTTCATAAAGTAACTAATTGAACTATATAATAAAGCTTAGAGATTACTGTATCAACTACAAATAAATATTTACAATCTTCTTATTTTAGATACTAGATGGCGGTGACGACGCAAAGAAGAAAACACACAGTAAAAACTATCGCGATGCGATCCGCTGTTTTCCATGGTTTTCCTCACGAATGTGCTATATAGAGAGTTACCGGCAAGGTCATATCAGTTTTGTTATGAATGTTGGTGAAGAGTGTAGTTGTGGAGAAGTGTATTCAAATTTAAAATAATGAGGATATCTCCCAAATATTATCAGAGCATTGCTAAAATGCTCGACTTCTATTCTCAATTTAATCCATCGCCATTGTCGATAAAAAAATTCATCGATTTTGGTAAGTTGACTTATGGGTACTCCAAAATATGTTGTTTTTTCGAAATTAATTTATTGAAATAAACGCCGAAGGTTAGGTGGTATATCAGCTGTTTTCGAGATATCAAAAAACTGTGACAAGGTTAGAAGATTGTTCTGTATAGATTTTGTTTTAATATTTCTAAAATAGGTATTTTAAATTTCCTTCACAGGTGTTGTTAACTGTAAATTAATTAACACACTAATATTTCGAAAAAAGCTATATCGAGGATCGTAGAAAAAATATGTATTTTTTTATATTTTATTTTTCTATAAAATATGTTTGCAATATACCTACATATTTACCTAGGTCATACATAACATATATATATATTCCTAGGCATTTAAATTTATAAATAATGGTTAAATAAGCAAGTTATTATTATACACTTGCCTAAAAGATATCTAAATTTGAAGTTTATTTCTTGCTTTCATAATAATGAAATAATAATTCTCAGATTAATTCTAAAAGTTGTAGCCCTCGTTTACACCAATTGCAAAGAGCAAGTTTTAGCTAGAAAAGACCAGTTTTGATTTTAAATTCACATTCTATATTTTGTGTACGTATTTAAAATACATACATAATCAAAAAGCAACAATCAGCATGATATTAACACTTGGATTTTTCTGTATTATATTCTTTTCTATTTATAGGTACTTTGGTATAAAATTGTTATTTACAAAAAATGTATCCAGAATATATAATAGGTATATAGGGTGGCTGAAATTTGGTTTGTTGGATTACTATCAAAACTCTAATTACCTCCATTTTCATTTTAATAAGAGAACCCATTTGTAATGTTTCAGATGCAATTGAAATTAATTTGGGTCTATGGGATACAGAGTGAATCAGATTTAATGTTAGACAGTAGTTTTAAAAATAGATTTTTAAATATTTTTTCTAAAATGGTCCGCTTTTGAAGGTAAAAAAGTTTATTTTAAAAATATTATATATATTTTAACAATTGCTGGAAAATGCAAATTGCATTGTTTTTTTCCTAAGACCAATACAGTTTTCATAAAAGTGTTTCAATAAAAAAATTAATATAAAATGTTCTATACCAATCTCGCTTTCTATATCCAATTTGCGGCGAAACTAATATAAAAAATATTGAGAATTGGTTAAATACTTATTATTTTTAATAAAGGCAATATCTATCTAGGTATGGTATGTACCAAATTCACCTCGGAAACATAGCAAATAAGATTTTTTTTTTCAAATTTGATCTTAAAGAACAAGGAAAAAACGTAGGTACTGAAAACACTATTATACTTATTTTCAAAAGTACAACCAATTTCGACGATAAATCTAACATAGAAATTAATTTTTAGAGAATTTTATTAAATTTATTGGGTTGCATCATATGATCCTGGTTAAAAAAATCTATTTATTTGTTTATGTCGTTCGATTTGAAGGTTTAAAGAAAATAACTACACGGTTTTGTCAAAGATAAGATTAACTAAGAATAATCCGGGGAATAAACAATAAATAGTATTCGCAGATAGTTTTAAGTAATTTATAGATCAGGAATTGCGAAATGGTATAAAATTTAGTCAACAAAAATTGTTTGTCGTATATAGATTAAAAAGTAAATAATAATCGCATTGTAAAATATTATCTTGACGTATCTACATTTTTCTCGAAATAATCTAGCACAATAAATAACAAAATGTTAATAACAATTTTTAAATTGATACGGTTAAATATTTACGAATTTTGTTAGGAAATAAAATAAATCTGACAAAACAAACATATTCTCACGTGGCAACTGGGCGTAAATTATTAAGTAAAGTAGAATAGGTAACTTTCCAATAATCGCCAATAATCGTTTCCGAATATTTGTTTCCAAATATAACATATATTTAGACGCAAAATTTTGGCAGCAAGCAACAGGCAAATTAAATAAAATACATTAATAGTTAAAATATGCAGGCCATAGGCATCAGTCCATGAGATACTAACATACTTTGAATATTAATTTTTAATGACGTTGAAAAACGTAATTTATTATTAAAATATAAGCTGATTAAATTTTCCAAATTTGAGACGTAGCGTTCTGCGGAAAATAGAGAATTCAAGGTTTAAAAATCGCTACACTTTCATTTTGATTCGTATAAGCTGATTTTTTTTTAAGTGATACAGAACTATGTAAAAACCGACTGTTAAACTTGATTTATAAAAAAAACGTAAACCCTTAAACTCTTAAACATATGGTACCTTAAATCCATAACTCAAGGGTTTCAGGGTTTATGGGTTATGGTTTTTTCATAAATCAAGCTTGACAGTTTGTCTTCACATAGTTCATCATTAAAAAAAAAAATCGGCGTATTCGAATCAAAATGAATCTTGAAACCAAAAATCTTGTGTGCCGCCAAAAAAGGAAGATCAGTTTCCTCAAAACTTACAGTTACAGTTTTCTGTCTGTTCTTTGACCTTTTAGTGTCACATACCTTCTGTTCTAAATTCTAAATCGCCAGTTGGTTGGCAAGTTACTTGAATGGACTCTGAACTGACGAATTGACGCATGTTTAGGGATATACCGGTACTTTTCCCACTATTTATACTCGGTACATGTAATCCCGACCTACGATATGCCCAGATTTTTGAATAGAATGTATCGTACTTAATTCCCTTTTTTATATACATTGAGAGTAGTATGAAAGGAAATATTTTAAAACATTTTTTCAAAACTATCATAAACCATTGACATTTTATTTATATTTCCTAAGTGTCGAAAACACAGTTTGGTTAACGAGAATGAAAAATACTTTTGTTCTATAACATCTGCTACTTATTTTTGAAAACTTATACATTTTAATCGAACAAATTTTACAACTACAATAAACTACAATTATTTTCATTGTCTGACTATTGCAAATTAGAGTTTTCAATATTACACTTTTCTTGAATACAACTGAATACTGCACAGTCTAAAAAATAACCATTCAGCGTTCATGCAACGAAAATCATAAAACTTTCACATTTTTTTTAACTCCCTCTAGATCGTTACATTATTTTTGGTCGTATTCCTTCCTACACGATTTCGTGTGTAAAACACACACATGTTGAAAATCACGCGCACACAGAATATAAAAATATATCCACGCGGATCCAGGTTAGCTTATGAATGTCTTCAACTAGCAGACGTTGGATAGCATTTTATAACCAGTAAGTTGAGTATTACGTAACGTCACCTACATAACTAAAAACAGACTAGCACTAGCAATGAAAGTAGTTTAAACAATAATTCACAAACTGTTCGACATGTACTTAATTTTTTTTAATTATACATTTTTAATAGTAGCTCTTGTATTTTTATTTTAAAAGGTAATACCTTTGACAAAAACCAGTAATTAAAAATAGCCATGATAGAAATATATTAAGTACTATTTCTACATTTTACTTGGACTGTTAATTTATGTTAGAACAACTTGAATGCAAGATATTTCGTTTGAAAGCTTACAGACTGTGAAAAATATTATTTTCAAGCGAATTTCGCTTATTTAACGGCAGGACTATGAATATTATCGTAATTTTCTTCGGACTCGCTGTCGTTCGCTTATATCTATCACGCTCTTGCGTCATATATTTCATTTTGCAACTAAGGCTAAAAAATAAAATTTCCAGGTTGCAAATTTAAAAAAAGATAGATTTTAATGTATTATTATGAAATCTACCATGAAAAAAATCAGTGCGATTGTGGAAGATCCTCGGGATCGTCCATAATATAATAATGTTTAATTTTTATGTTAGCTGTTAATTAAATGTTGCTGGTGCTGGTAGAATTTACAATCAGTGGTAGTTATGGCATGTAGCCTATGGTGTACTACCTATGTGGTTATTTTCACAGGAAAATTTTAACAATATTTTTAGACTTGATTTAACATTTAGCAAGCTTGAAACATTTTAAAGTGAAGTGAAAGTATTCTTGCTTAAAAAATAGGAAAATTTATCTTTTGGAATATTTATGGCGTACTTTGTTTTTCTGCTTCTAATAAGAGAAATAAAAATATGTCCTAGGTTTTTATTGATGGAAATGTACAGCTCCTTTTAACGGCTGTAAGAAAATAACGACTTTGTTTTATTACCGGCATCGTGCTGAAGCTCATGTAAGCAATGATAGTGAACTCTCAATACTAGCGAACACAATAAACTCGACACCATTCAAAAGTTAATGTTTTCTTCGTGAGCATGAGACATAAGAAAGACAAAGAGTAAAGAATAATCCTTACTCTTTGACGAAAATATGATCGAAATTGGCAACTGAAACTTTTACATTTATACTGGGTAGCCGAAAAATATTTATTATTTATTTAGAAATATTTATTTGTTGTTTTTATGGGAGGTTGGACAGGAATGTTCCGAATTCATATTCGCATTCGCAAGTTATTTTTTACGAATTTGCGAGAAAGAAAGGTAGATTCGTAAGACAATACATTTGATTTCAAAATAGAATACATATTCATTTTTATTTTTTTAAACAAATTTCATTTTGATGCAACCAAAATATGTTTCTGTTTTTGTTTAAATAAAAGCAATAAATTTTTAGTTTATTTCCCATTTATAAAATATATATTAAAATATTTCTACTAACTTCTATCATATACAGGGTGCTCCATCACATCAGGATTTTTCCCTAACCTCAAAAAATTGCTCAAAATCAGTAGAAATATCGATTTTTCGTTAAAATGAAATGCCTCGTTGTGGAGTTACAGCCATTTTAACTAATTCTGGGCATTATTAAAATGTCCAATTGAATTTTAAAGAAAAAAGTGCAAGAAAATAAAGTGTTTATTTTATATGCAATAATAACATTTAGTAGATACCCTAATTTGTAGTAATTTATTACTTTACGCATTCGCAAGCATCAATATCAAATATTTGTATTTACAATATCGAAAATTTCACATCTGGGACAACCTTGCTTTTAGTACAAAAGCCAACATACATAATTTATTACCCGTTTATAAAACTTTACTTTT